GTCGTTAAAATTCTGGCCTCGTCCATTTTTAAAGAACACATTCACTGAACATTACGTTGTCTCGATTGTCAAGCTATTTATACATATATATATATAGGCAAAGTAACAAAACTAAAAAGGGTTTCATTTGTATTGATTCCGTTAGAATATTCTGATATTAATTCTATAGCTTGGCAAGGCTGCATCGGGTCGTATATGAAACCGCTGCGATGCAGATTGTCGCAATGCAGCTTCGGGCGGGTACTTTATTGTGATGAAGCTTTCTGGAGTTGGCGTGGTCAATAGCGCTCACGACAAGATAATGCACGTGATTGTGTCATTATCTGCTGATGGTAACGATCCTAAATTATTTAGGCCGCCTTGATGATATCACAGAAATCATTAACTACAATCCAGATCACGGTCGAGTAAATGACGCGAAGCTAACAGGCAAGCACAGTGTTCAAAGTGCCATAAGGTTTTATCGCATTTCACGATGAGCACACATCCTACAGATTTTTTTTTGTTTTTGTGTGCTTGGGTTTTATTTAATTTAATAGAATAATAGAATAAAATTTCGGTCTAAAAACTAGCAGAAACCCAGGCTTACAAAGATATTGGTGTGTGGAATAACTCATTCTGTCCGTAACCATGGTTGCTGTAAAAAGTTCTAAAAAATAATCTTTTAAATAAATGTTTTGAAGTTTGGAAATAAAAATGACAGTAAAAATTTCACGATGCGCGCGCACACCGACACCGAAATGATGGAGTTGATTGCAAAGCGACCAACCTCACGGTGTTATTACCATGGCGACCAATAACAACTTTTCGGCGTTTACCTATCATCATCATTTCAGCCTGTTTGCGTCCACTGCTGAACATAGGCCTCCCCCACAGACTGCCACAAAGCACGATCCTGAGCCACCTGCATCCATCGAATTGCGGCAAATTTGCACACGTCACTCCATCTAGTTGGGGGGTCGTCCCACACTGCGATGGCCAGTTCGAGCCTGTCACTCGAGAACCTTTCTTCCCTAACCTAACCAAGTTATTTAGTTAAAACGTTATAGATTTCATTTAATGTCTTTTTCTCAAACAAAAAGCATTGTCATAGGGGATATTTTTTTTTACTTAAATACGCACTATTCGCGTAAATAAACGTTTAGCAATTGTGAGCTTCAAGGAATTTAGATATCGCTATCGCTGAAATTTCAAAGATAATAAACGTGTTCTATAGATATTTGGATCACAACCGATTCCGATACACAATTTGACACAACCAACCACCGCCTTCTCTGGTAAATTATGTTAAGCGATACGAATCGACTTAAACTCTGCCTGGTCGACGGACTGCATATATTTTTTAGACGTACTCATTCTTAGCTTATGTAGCTGACAATACAAATCTAGACAAATCTACGTAAAGCATACCATTAATCTCGCGATTTGAATGTTTCAACGCATTATGACAATTGAAATCGGCGCACCTCAAACGTTTAATATTACGGCCTCATCTCTTGATTACATGAAGAATAAGATTTCTAAAATATAGGTGCATTCACTCAGGAATGAAGTAGGATTGCTTTAATGGAAAAAGATGAATAATAATATAGTCCATTCCTTTTTTCATACGTAACGAACAAAGGTGTTTCAGAAATTATTGCGCCTGGGGTAGCAGCATAATGTAGTGTTTACTACATGCCATACTAAATCCATGTAATAACGAATTCGACATTGTTATTTTCTATAATCGTTTAACTATACATATTCAGGATTCAGGTGAGCAACACAATATGGTGAACCGACATGACAGAAATATAACTGTTGGATAACGCCCTATAGCCAAATGAAATTTTACGTAATATTATTTCATGTTTACGTTTAGAAAACTCTCAATTGTCACTTTGGTACGACCATCGTTGGCATTATTACTTTTGTATTTAATTATACAACTCAACACACTTTTTCTATGTATTGTACTTAAAAAAAGATAAACTATTTAAAAACTTGTAGTGATATTTACTTCAAGTCAACTGTATCATGTTTCAAGTAAACGCAAATTCGCGCTAATTGTAATTAATGTAAACCAGCCATCCAATTAATACTTCACGCGTTTCCTGCTCTAATTAGTCGAAAACGTCAGATAACGCTACAACTCTGAATAGTGAATGTTTTTTCCCTATTTTTTTAGTTATTTCGATGAAATGAAAACCGGCGTATTTAAAAAAAAAATCACCACCAGTTCTACCATGATATTTCAGTCAAGGGATGGCTCGTAATTAAACCAGTGCGTCTAATGGTCAAGCTTTCGTCATGTCTTAAATTCAGTGTTTGAACACAATCATATATTATACCCCTTTTCTTTGGCAACTGTGGTAGGGCCACGCAAAAGTCTTCGCTGATGCCCCATTTGGTAGGTCCGCCCGGGGAAGAATCTAACAGAACACCGGCGTGAAGTGGAAGTGTTATACTTCTGCATTATGTCTGGTGAGTGAGGTAACCGGGGCCCACGTAATTGAAAGGTGGCAAAGCATTTGTAAACCTGCATTGGTTGTTGCAAATGTCCGTGGGCGGCAGCTACCACTTAACGTCAGGTGTAGCGTTATCTCGCCTGCCAAAAAAGTATGTATGTATGTACGTATGCACGTAAGAAGTTACACTTTTTTAGCGTAAAGACGCCGAATGCAATTGACGACGGTTTATTTAAATAACTTGGAATTATTGGTAAATGGCAAAAAGTTGTTATTTGTTGCCAAGATTGATTCATTTTAAAAATAAAGTACATTCAGTACATGTTATGCGGAAAAAAATGTGGTCACCCTGGCTTAATCTTTTATGTACAGAACGATTTCTATACGCCATATCATTCTAATTGACACATAATGTAGCGTAACAATTTGTTTCACTTGTTATATTCGTATGGAAGTCATGTTGATTATAAGAGTTAATGTAAATCGTATTTAAATTTATTGATGTAACACTTTCTGCTATTTATTTTAGGAAATTTGCTTAAGAATTCCAGGGCAATAATATATTTTCTCCAATAATTGAGCATTTCATCACAAATGATTTCACAATTACGTAATCGTTCATCAGGTTATTGAACTCGCCAAATTATGTTGTGTTTATGATAATTTAAACGATCTCATAAAATTATATCGATTTCTAAGGCGATGCGTCGTAATAAGTTTCTTAGTTACGAAGTAAACGTGAAGTATTGACTAAAATTTGATTTGGCTTGTTATTTTTAACATAACATTTAGAATTTTCGATACACGGTATTAGTTTAATTAAATCAAACCGTTTGCGTTATAATTTTATTTGATTTTTATGTCGTAAACAGTGGAGCTAAATATAAAGGTACTAACACAAAACACTATTCGTCGGCCCGTACGAACTGCGAATTTTTTAGATGATCCTTGAAGGATGGTTTTCTTGTACAGTTTTGGTTTTAAACATTAACCAAACGAGACGTTTTTATTTCTGATACAACTTTCATTTTATAAGATGACATGAATGTTTCCTGATGTAATTAGGAAATGATTGTACGTTTTAATTTCTTATATTACATCATGTAATGTGTTTCAAATATAAAAAAAATTTGCATTTTGTTTGAAACTCGTATATTTTTGCATGGAAGAAAAATTTTTAGATACGCCCTGAGTATGTCATATATGCCGCATAAACCTACATCATAAGTCAATTGACGTTATACTAACATAATGCAAAATATGCTAACATAATGTAAATGTATAGTTTATGATAATAGGCCGGTTAGATTCGAGGAGAATTCGATATCGAAAATCCAGTCCATAATACCATAGCACTGCTTCACGCATGGCGGGCTGCACGCCGTCCAAGCCGGTAGATGAAAATAATTAACGATTAACTACCAGGAACCGCCGACGGAAAGTGGTGAAAACCCGGAAGGTGGCAATCAATTTGTTCAACCTTTTTGATTTTGCATTTCTTCACGCTGCGCTGTGACTTGTGTACGACAGTTTACGCTGGCCTGCCCTGTCGCGTTGTTTATTGTTATAGTTTATGTCTTGGGATTTCTCCATAAAGACAATTCATCAACTGTTATACCGCCATATTTCCCTCGCATTGTTTCGGGCCATTTCACAACTTTTTTTTAAAACTAGTTTTGATTTTTATTCCCGAAGTGGACAGTATTCTTATGTCAATTTTAAAATTAAAAAGTTTACATTGCGCCACAAGTGCAACGTAGTTCTGCAGTCTCATTTAATAGTTCATCCTCGTAGTAATATCGTGCACAGATTATATTGCGGACGTAACGACGCCAATTTGCAAACATGGTCACGTACTGTATACATCACAAACTATAACGGATTATGGTTTTATTTGCGGTAACAAAATGGTAAATACAGATGATACCTGTATAATGAGTGGTATAGGCTTTGTGTAATATAACTAAATTTGTTATTTTTGGGAATTGAAAGTCTACAAAATCTTGTTTAGAAATAATTCAAAGTATATGTAATCATCTATATTCTATTTGCCAAAATTAATAATAATATCTTTTAGAAGGAATCTAACAATATTCTTACCCCTTTTTTCTAGAAAATGTTAATATCCATTTATTACTCTCATGTTCGAATTTATTACAAAAATTAGCATGATTTGTCGTTTGACCTATGTTACATGATAAGCAACTGTTGTTCTAGATTCTCTTGTGCATTTTGCTCCACGTTGTTTTTCTATTCAATAAATCAGAATTACTTAATTGATTGGATTAGCTTAGCCGGAGACGTCGTCAGACATGATCGTCGTGTAGTGGGACAGTGGGAATTACTCATATGTGTTATGTCCGATGAGTGAGTTAACCGGATACCCACATTTTTATGTTGGCAACATAATCATCTGCAACCGCATATAGGCATAACATCACCAATCGCTTGCTCTCAACCTTTCACCATAAAAATACCACAGCACCAACGGTAGTCCGTGAAACGGAACAGACGGAGTATTGAAGGCCGTCTCCGTTGTCGATTTCGCAGTGATGCTGAGCAGGTAGCCGGCGGCGCCGCAGCGATGCCGCTGCCGAAGCGCTGCGTGGAGCCGGTGCACGTGTCGAGGGGCACGGTGCCCGAGAGGCTCGCGGTGCCGTCCGAGCTAGAGGCCGTCACCAACGGTACACTCGCCAACACGGTCAGGTAATAAGCTCATGTTTACGATTACGCAGACCATTTAGCACTCGACAGTACACGCTCAGATCTGACCAACAGTACACTCGCCAACACGTTCAGGTAATAAGCTCATGTTTACGACTACGCAGACCTTTTAGCACTCGACAGTACACGCACAGATCTGACCAACGGTACACTCGCCAACACGTTCAGGTAATAAGCTCATGTTTACGATTACGCAGACCTTTTAGCACTCGACAGTACACGCACAGATCTGACCAACGGTACACTCGCCAACACGGTCAGGTAATAAGCTCATGTTTACGGTTACGCAGACCTTTTAGCACTCGACAGTACACGCACAGATCTGACCAACGGTACACTCGCCAACACGTTCAGGTAATAAGCTCATGTTTACGATTACGCAGACCTTTTAGCACTCGACAGTACACGCACAGATCTGACCAACGGTACACTCGCCAACACGGTCAGGTAATAAGCTCATGTTTACGGTTACGCAGACCTTTTAGCACTCGACAGTACACGCACAGATCTGACCAACGGTACACTCGCCAACACGTTCAGGTAATAAGCTCATGTTTACGATTACGCAGACCTTTTAGCACTCGACAGTACACGCACAGATCTGACCAACGGTACACTCCCCAACGCGTTCAGGTAATAAACCAATATCAACGATTTACGCAGACCATTTAGCAATCGACAGTACACGCACAAATCTTGAATTCTGACCAACGGTACACTAGCCAACACGGTCAGGTAAAAAGATTATGTTCATGATTACGCCTACCATTTAGTACTTGACAATACACACGTAGATCAGACTTTTGACCAACGGTACACTCGCGACCATTTTACACTCGACAGTACACCCACATATCTGACATAAAACAAAACGAAATTGAAAATTAAATCATTACCTATGCCTTTTGGGTAATTGGGCAGATACAGAAACACAACTGTTTCTTATATGTGAGAAAGTCGCAAGCGAGCTGACGGTTCCACTGATGTTAAGTGATAACCGCTGCCCATGGACACTTGCAACATCCTTAGGCTTGCAGATGCGGTGCCACATTTAAAAATTTAAAGATGACACCGCGTCTGCACCTTATAGTGGGTCCAGGTTATCTCAACCACCAAACTAAATGCAGAAGTGTAAAACTTCCACTTCATGCCGTTCGTCTGCGCGGTCGTGGTACTTATCCGAACGGACAACAGATTTAGCTTAGTTACAGCCGATTATCTTAGTGGCTAAAGCGCCAGGGCGCGAATCCCGAAGACGTGGGTTCGATTCCCACAGCGACGAAAAAACTTCGTACTTTTTTCTACGAATTTTAATGTTTAATCTTAAGTGCAGAGGCAGTATAAAATTTTAATTTCTGCAATAGTATTTAAACCACAGTCAAGAGTATTTTACTTATTTTGTTATTTAATTTAAATTGGTTATTATTTGTACACAAATGACGTTGTTTGCAATTATACCCCAAACATTATGTAGGAACGTGACAGATAACTATTTAATCTGGAGCGTTTGTGACAAAAGTACGAAATTCTAAACGTACTGAAAATATGGATGGCGACAGACAGAAGTAAACCATTGATTGGGTATACTTTTTATACTAAAGAGAAAAATAAATAAAATAATTGGTGAGAACACTTAAGTCGATAACATGATATTAATCTTGTGAACAACAATCATGCAAATTTATACGATGTACATAATTGAAGAATTTCCGAGTTAAATACAGCAAGTTCTTGAAGAGTGCTCGTTAATGTTCCAGGCAACTGTCGTCACTGTCGAAACATGCTGAGGATATGTTCGGGGAACTGACCCGCGAGGCCACAAATCTGGCGGAGAGGACGAACATACTGCAAGCCAGGATAGACCGGCTCGCTATAAAAGTCACGCAGTTGGACTCAGGAGTCGAAGAGGGTAAGTTGACACACGGTGTCGCCAACGCGGCCAATTTCGTATGGAAAGTTCGTTTTTGTACGTTACTACTTACTATAACACCAAATTATTCATAGGATACTGTGTTTCATGAACCTTTTGAAGATCTATCAAGGTTCAAGCTACGCGACTATGATTATTAGTCGGCGATTTTTTTAGATTTGATTTTCAACTTGCAAATTAAACACTACACTATACTGTGTAGCATGCACCATTAATCGTCTGTATCGTCCATTTAATTTCGGATAATTTGGATCGGTTACATAGTCCACCAAGGTTTTGCTAGTTGGTAAAAGCAAAAAAAAAAATACAACAAAGACACCCTGCAAATTGTCCCGATCAATAGCTTAGCGCATACCAACCATAGGCGAGGACGTTGTCACTTACTCTTCAAAGCACCAACCCCCCCTCTCCAACATACACACACACTCCCAGCAATGTCCCTTCGGCAATCGTGAACAATCATTCGTGGCGACTGTCCGGCGAACTCGTCACTCGCCCCACTGCAGGGTGACGAAACGACTCATGAACCCTCCTCTATTGCAGTGTCCCTGCAGGACATCCAGATGCGCAAGGCGTTCCGCTCGTCGCGCACCTTCCAGCAGCAGCTGTTCTCGCGCGGCTCGATGCCGTCCGCGATGCTCGCGACGTACGCGCGCTGCGACCGGCCGCCGCCGCTCGAGAGGCTGAACGAGTTCCGGGACGACGGGCGGGACGCGCGCAAATTCTACACGGACCCGGACTACTTCTTCGAGCTGTGGCGGCGCGAGATGCTGCAGGACACGGAGCGGATACAGCACGACCGCGGCAAGAAGGTGAGCTGGGCGCGCGGGAGGGACGCTGATGTTTTTTGTTTTTTATTTTTTCGACAGTCTTAGGGATGTCGATAGAATGTTGGTTTTTTTTTTATTTCGAAAGGTCGTAGGGATGTCGAAAAGATAACGATCCTTTTGATTTTATATATCGATATATATACCCTATATATTTTTGGATCCGATATTACGATGTAAAATGTTCAATATTGGAATCGTATCGAAAACGATACTTATACGATATATCGATATTTTCTCGATATTTATGATGTTATCGCTCAGCGATGAAGTTCTTTTCTAATAAATTTAAAAAAAAACATCACTAGTGGTCGAAATCCACCCTAGGGTTGTGCAATAACGCAATAACGCAACGGTCACTCCGCAGGTGCGTCAGCCGCGCAGCGGCGGCGCGGACGGGCGGGGCACGCGACGGGTGCGCGCGCCGCACTCGACGCGCGAGCGCCAGAAGGCGGAGGCGGTGACGCGCGGCGAGCACATTATGGCGCCCAGCCAGCTGCGCCACTACAACATCGACACACACTACCGCGCCGAGCCGCTGTACCAGAGTGAGCACGCTTTTTACGAAAAAGATCTCGAAAAGGTGTCGATCGTAGGACGACCCTCCACTAGATGGAGTGACGACCTGTGCGGGAAGTCGATGGATGCCGGTGGCTCAGGATCCTGCAAGTCTGTGTGGTTCAGCAGTGGACTCAAACAGGCTGAAATGATGATGATAGATATATCGATATTTTTGGATCCTATTATCGATACTGAAATATTCAGTATCGATAATCGTATCAAAAAAAATTTTTTTTTCAAATTTGTATTCGGCACAGAAGCCGTCGGTCAATATTTTATGTCAAATAGTTGACATGACTTTTTTGTACAAATGCTATCCGATACATCGATATACGTATCGATGTATGCTGAAAATAAAGACTCAAACACCTACCAGAATGGCGCTGACGTACTTATCGTACGAGTACTAAGATATGAACTCGGCTGTTGTAGACGAAGTGAAGTGTGCCGAGTTCGTATATTTAAAAATTTTCATAACCACAGTAATAACCGCTTTAATCATTTATAAAACATGCACCAAAAGCAAGCGCAAATTTGTCGGCCTTTAATTTGTTTATTTCTCTATCTTTTTCTAATGATTTCTCGGTTCAATTCCCACAGCGGCGACAATCTTTTTGTACTTTATGTACGAATTTTAATGTTTAATCTCAAGTGCAAAGATTAGCACTATAAAAAATTTAAATAGGCATTCTTGTTTTGGCTCAATATTAAATCAGTGCCTTATTCAAAGACGTGTGTTCAAGTACATTTGCATGATATTAACCTCAGCAACTTTTGTTTCAGCTACCAATGTCACGGACGGCGGTTACAGAGCGCCTCAAAATCGTCCACCAACATCACAACCGGCCAGACCCAACTCCATAGAGATAGAGAATCAACAAAACAGACAACCTCGTCTTACGGGCAATGGACATGGTCAGTGTGTACTCATTTCTGTCAGATTTTATTGTCTATGTCTAAAATTGTCAATGTCTCAATGTACAAATCAGCTAGTATGGCAATATTAACATCTCTTATACATTATCATCTTACTAATTATAGACAAACACAACAATCTCTATCAATTCTACAGTTTCTAGTATAAATTGACAATTATTTTATACCAATTGATATTGTTTAATAAACTGTCATAAAGTCTTACAAATGAATAATAATAGTGATATAGCAACGAAGCAAGCTATTACATTAAAAATTGAATAGCAGTTGTGGCGGAGGAGAGTCCATACGGCACAGCGGAGCCGATCTATGGCGGCAGCATCGCGGGAACGCCGCGACGCGCGCGCCCCTCCGTGCCCCCTCCCGCCCCGCCGGCCCCCCCTTCGGACGAACCGGCCCTCCTCACACCCACGAGGTAGTCGACGCAGTCTGTTCACATTCAAATATCTTTATTCAATATAGAAGCATGTATATAGCAATATAGAACATACTTAGTGATTGTCAAAACACTACCACTGACCTAAGCAGAACCGGCGAAACAAACTCGACGGGACATTTTTTTTTACTATTATTTGACACGAAACATGTTTACAGTGTATTAAGATGACCACTTGAAAGAGCCTGGAGCGATCAATTCATTTCCAGAATGTGTTATCATTTAAATAATCACTAATATTATAATATAACACAAAAATGTTCCTTGACAATTTACAAATTGATACTTGTGATGAATTGAGATTTGTCAATAAGGAAGTTGGGGTAAATATTTTAATTGTAATATGTTAATAAATATCTCCAAGCCCTGGAGTTTAGTTACAATGGTACTTAAATTAATAAGGGTTTTTACCAATTTTGTTTGCGTCATAAATTTTTCGTTCTCTGTAGCCTTTACTTAAATTTTATTGTTGTATTCTTGCTTTTTATTTTAATTAAATTAATAATATTGGGAGTCATTCTTGACTTCATAAAACTATATGAGTGGTTAATTGAATTAATAATAGTTATTTTTGGTTAAGTTTAAAATTTATCATTTTATTTATCAGTTATCAATTTAATGTATTTTTTTTATTTTCATTATATAATTTAATGTATGATATTATCAATTTAATGAATGATGATAAATACAATGGAACTCCAATATTTTTTTATTTCAACAATAATGTAAGTACGCAATAAATAAAAAGACATTTGCTCAAAACACCTGCATTATATTTCCTTCTAGATCGGCCCTTCCGCCCCCGCCGCCGCCGCCTGAGGGCACTTCGCCCCCGCCAATGATCAATGGCGCCTCACCTCCCCATCGCACGGCGCTCGACGCACATCTCGATCAGATGCACGCCGTTATCGGTGAGGCGATTGTTTTTGAATATGTATCACGTTCATTCCCAAAGTTCGCCAACAGGCTAACCCGTCCTATGTGTTTGTGATTTAATTTTTACAAATGATAGTCGTGACTTTGCAGTCCCTTTCCCGTCAGAGTATAAAGCTGCAGAGTATAAAGTACTAGTTGCCCGCCACGACGTCTGCGTAGAATAGACTGTAAGCGTAACATTCAGACAGAAACAGATATACATAAAAATATGTATATAAACTACAGCCTATGTGTTATTCTGATGTATAAACTATATTATTGTAAAGTTTCATTAGAATACATTCGGTAGTATTGGCGTGAAAGAGTAACAAACATCCATTCATACATACAAACTTTCGCGTTTATAATATTAGTAAGGATATATTTAATTGTAATTTCTCTTGCACCAGGAAATAATAAACCCCTCCCCGCCATTAAAATAACAGCTACATAGTACTTGCTGGGTAGAACCAGCTACTATTGGAACGGAACCCAAAACTTGTTACATTAAATCATGAATTTTATGTGGAAATGTTTACAAACAATTTGTGAACATCAACAACACCCGATGGCTTGCAGATGCGTTGAAAACCTTTAAAAAAGCGTGTTGTATTCGAACCGCGTCGTCCGTTCCCGCAGGAATGATGTCCACGGAGGAGTCGCTGAGCCCGCCGCCGCCGCCGCTGGCGCCGACGCCGCCCGCGCCCCCGCCCGCGCCCCCCGCGCCCGGTGGCGACCGGCCGCGCGCGCCCTCCCCCGCGGCGCTGCTGCGCGGCGCGTCCGCTCTCAAGCCGCCGCGCCCCGCCGCCGAGCCGCAGCCCGACCCGCGCTCCGACCTCCTCAAGGCGATACGGGACGGTAATACGGAGACATTTTGTTTATCTATATATCTTTATTTATATAATTCTTCTGTGCTTGTGTATGTCACTGGATTCCTCCTAAACGGCTGGACCGATTTTAATGAAATTTCTTGTGTGTGTGTTCAGGTGGATTCGAGAATGGTTTACATTCACAAAGTTATGAATACACAGATTGATAATTAGATTTAATAATCATGTAGATTTGCACACAAATGGGTAAGTTATTACTAATTACACTGCCACTCATGGACAAGTAGTTGCAGTTGTGAACCGCATTACGTCTATCTTCTGTAAAGAGGCCAGGCTAGTGCAGCCTGTATTATGTTAGAGAACCAAAGTAGATAAATTTGGTACAATTTTTTTTGATGAAATGAAGTTTACTATCTTTTACACTTACAAAATATTCCATGTTTCTCCGTGCTCGTAATGAATTACAGAGTGTTATATCTTACAATATGTGTGTGTAGTATTGTCGACGCGGCATCCCTAGATCGGATTCGACGACTGGGTTGCTGCTTTGCCTCAATATATAGCCTCTTTACATTCATAATGCAAGCAGTATTATTGCAACTAAATGAAATAAAATGAGTTGCTGTGAATTTTCCAAAATTTACCAAATTCTTCTGTAGTATATCGAATATAATTTTTCGGATCATCTTCTTCATATATTTACAACAAAAAAAAAACTTATTCTATGCAGTCTAGCAGTTTAGTCTAACTGCCTGATCGAGAAGCTATAAGTGCAAAGAAGTATATATTTAGGCATTTTTTAATGTCAAAAATTGGCAAACAAGCAGGCAGTAATTGTAAATCTTTATTAATATCCATACATTTGTAACGCCTCCGGGATTACAGATGTACTCAAATCAGACAAACCTCACCTCACTTATCAGACAAAACGCGAACCTACAATGCTTCCACTTCTTCCGTCGCCTGTAAACACACTGTTATATTGTAAATATTTCCTGTGAATTTGTTCACACAAAAACTCACATTTCGTGGTGCTCGATCCGCGCAGGCATAAAACTGCGCAAGGTCGAGAAGCGGTGCGACGAGAACACCGGCCGCTACGACACGCTGCGCGGCGCGCCCGCGTTCCTCGACGTGGCGTCGATCCTGGCGCGGCGCGTCGCCGTCGAGCTGAGCGACACCAGCTCGGGCGCCGACTCGGACTCCGACGACTCCGACCAGTGGACGGAGCCGCGCGCGTGACGTCGCGCCTCGCCGCGCCGCGAGCCGCCGGACCCCCCCCAGCCGCCGGACCCCAAGCCGCCGAAGCGGCAGCCACACAGCGCGGACTCCGGCGAGGCGGTCCCCATCAAGATCAAGGAGGGCGAACAGGGCGCGGCACGCGAGCAGCCGCAAAACGACAACGAACCCGAAACGGACAAGCAGTACGTGCGCAACTCGTCGTTCCTCAGTCGCGACATAGAAGCGCACAAGACGAAGGAACCGGTGAAACGGCTCAATCCGCAGTCGCCACCTGTTAAGGAGGAATTGCGCGGGGCCGAGAAGGCCTCAGAGGGCGACACGCCGCCGACGAGCGCATCGCCCCCAAAGAGGAACGTTCCTCCTCCGTTAAAGATAGTTGATGATAAGCAATCGAAGGACTGTTCGACTCCAGTTCAGTGTAAGGATATTAAGTCGCCACCATTAAAGAAAGAGATTTTGTCGCCGCCAATGAAAAAAGAAATTGAGACAGTGCTTTTGAAAAATGGGTCATCAAAGTTGAAGACCTCGTCGCCTAATTCAGCGAATGAAGTATCTCCAATATTAAAAAAGGGACATTCGCCCCCACCCAAAAAAGAAATAGTAACATCTCCCCCTATATTTAAGTTAAACAGAACTGACTCAAAAGCAGAAAAAAGTAGCATTTCCATTAAGACATTAAAAAAGGAATCCATTGATGCGAAAGAAGTACCTATCACAGCGGAAAAACTATCTATAGCTTCCGGTAATAATGATAATACCAAAACAAATGAAAAAAGTAATGAAAATGAAAATTCAAATTCGGAAAACACTGTTGTGGAAATCAAAAATGCAGAAGCCAAACCAGAAGAGTCAAATGGAGTTGGGGATAAGATAAGGAAGTTTGAAAAAGCGGCAGAGGATGCAAGTGCTGGTGTTGGTAGATTGTCCCGTCCAGGTTCAGTTCGCGGAAGATCACGAACAGACAGATTAGGTTCAGATGGCAAAGAAGACTTTCCACCACCTGCTACACCATTTAAAGATAATGTGTTCTTTGAGCTTTGTGCGCCCAGCGATAAAAATACTGAGCCTCGTAGTAGTCATCCGACACTTGAACGTCAGCAGAGTGTGACAAGGAATTCTGTTAAATTATTGAAATGGCAAAGGAGTGAGGGCAGTTCTCTTGAAGGCGAGAAAATCATACATAAACCAGAGCCACAAAAAATTGTAAAGCCCGAATTTAAGCCAATGCCAATGCCAGTCGACGTCACAATCCGTTCGCCGAGCCTTGGTGCTAAAATCGCTGATCAATTTCCATCTCAGGGCACAGCATTTCGTAACGTCGCGTCACTGGACACAGCTCGCACCAGCAGGGATATTCACAAATTCAACGAAGATGTAAATACTCAGAATAACTTTAAGACATGTAAACTTAAAAATAAGGAGAAGTATGCTGTAAGCAAGGGATCTAGTTACTTCACAAGGGGTTCTGAAGAGATTTGGTTGGTAAAGAAAAAAGACATTGAAGAAATTGAGGAAAGAGTACTGGATTCATTCCGTAGAGCTGGTGGTAATTTGTGTATGAGAGCTGAATCGATGCGTCCCTCATCAGACAGTGGACAGAGTGTATCGTTTTCTCATGCAACTATGGGACGCACCAAACGTCAGATGTATGCTAGAAGTGAGTCATTAGATCCACAATGGGCTGGAACGAGAGCGCAGACCTTAAAACGTCAGTCTTCAGTTGCATGTACTTGTGGACACGATAAAAAGACTCGTGCCAAAAGCGCTGGTGCTGAAGTCAACCCCCGTCCACGCTCTCGTTCACATGGAGACGAAAATAATCAATGTCACGTCCTTGACAAGTATGAGACACTTGTATAGTGAGTGTAATCAGCCCCTATTCCATGCACAGAGAATTGTGATAGTTGGTATAAAGTAAAGCTGCATATAGCTGAATATATTATGGACAGAATGCAGGTTATTTGTATTTTGTGTGAGTGTATTATTGGTGCAGTGCATGGAATATTATATGTAGTAATACAGTTAATTCACATAATCATTTTGGTGTATGGATAAGGTAATAATATTTGTTATTCAAGCAGTGGTTTATTGACTAGGCTTATGGATATATTGTTGGGTGAACTTTGAATGGACTTAGAAATGTGTTGATGTAAACCAAAAAAAAAACTACATAATATAAATTGCGAGAACTAGATGTAGAAATATTAATATATCTACTTTTCCCTTTTGTAAAGTATAAATGTTGGCAAATAAAGTGTTTTATGTGGCACTTACATTCAAATATTGACTGATGTGGTGTTGGTAATATGTTATTGTATTAGACTTGTTATAAGTCAATTACGAGTTTTATCTCTCATAATGATTAGATATTTTCATATTGAATCTAGGCCCACCTAAGCACAATGGTATTGTATGGTGCTTTGCTTATTGAAATTGTGTTTACATCTCATGAATAATCTCGTTTCATTAGCGGTTGTGAAATCCTGTTTTGACATTTTAACATATTTTTACTTCCTACGTTTTATTGAACATAAGCAATAAGAGATAACTCACCTTATTATGGTTTTTTTTAACAGTCTATAGTCTATTGAATAGATAGAGCATTATACATACAAGGTTGTCATTTGAATTTTGGCATGTCTAATGTTTTCCTAAAAATAGGAGTATTCATGAGTAGGAACAACAACCATATGTAATTATAGTAGAAATTAAATTTTTCACTGGACTTGTTTACTAGATAGAGATTCTTAAAATTTAGAAACTTATGAATAATCCTAAGAAAACAGTTTTGTAATTTCATATGTGTCATGCATATGTAGTGCCAATTTGTCAAATGTATTTAATCATCACATACATCTCTTAAGTTTCCATTTTATAATGAAATTTTGTACTTTATGGCATTGTATGGAAAGAGGATAGTGTTAGAAAATGGAAGATTTAAAAGTTTTATTTTTGTAATTATTCTAGTTTCTATATATTTGTATAAACCAGGTAGTGTTTAAAATTTCTTTGTATTTGCGATTAAAATATGCATTCCAAAAAAACTTAGTTGCTATGGCAACTACATTTTGCATATAATGTTTATAAAAAGAGCAACGAACATGTACCAAATTCTTAATACATAGATTTGTACCTATAAATAGATTTAAGTTCTGAATTGGTTTAAAGTGTGTATGAATTTACTTTAAACTGGTACCCAGAATTGTTATTTAACAATTTATGGTTTCGGAGTTTAATTACTGGTATAGCATAAAACTGGGTGTAATTTTTAATTTAAGCAACTGTTAACCCCGCCTTTTATGTATATAGAACGGGTCCACGTTTTATGTAGTTGTTGATCAAGATACTAACTGACCCAAGTGTCTCCAAATATAAGATTAATCTTGCAATTAACGCATTTCTTACTATTTTATTAACATTAAAGCAGTGTGTTATGTATGAGCAGCAAGCAATGTAGTATAGTAGTTCTATTCGCGTATGATGGTGATTAGCGCTAAGATATGTAAATTATAGCTGTAAGAGAAATAAATAAAGCATGTTTTATATTATGTAGATTATGTAATCGCCTCTTTATTTTGCCATATGTGGGCAAACGCTAATTATTTATTGCATTTTTTATCTTAAATGTTTATAATTTTTTAATGTTAATATACTTGATGCAAATTTTACAACTTGCCTGGCAAAAATATAATTCTCCCCCATTCTACTCGTTTTGTCATCAGAACATAATTTGTTACAGTTTTTGCATTAGGTAATAAGTATGCAGTAAAAATCATTATGGAAGGAAGTCCTGAAAAATTGCTTAGGCATATTGTAATGCATTGAAAAAACCACATCATAGATTATGTACCTACATCAGAATATGCTTCTTATTGCGGAGGATAGTGTCGTTTCTATTAAGAAAATATTTTATAACTTGTTTATTTGCTAATACAATAAAAAGAAACTATAACTAAATTGTTTTATTTCTGTTATGCTATTAAAAGAGATTGATCATTTATATTTCCACCAGATATGCATAGTGCATAGTATCATCTGGACTCAATTAATGGATTAGACTTGCTCTACAATATGAAAAAACAATCGTGAAATGCCACTCTACTGCAACAAAAAGTTCATCGCCTTAAGTAGGCCTCATTTACACAAGGAGAGTTTATCGCGTGCAAGTGGCAGTTTCTTGGTCTAAGATGATCAAGAAACCTAGCCTAATTATGTTGGGTTCTTACCCACTGAAACCCCTAGGAAGCGACCCTCGGTACGTTAGGAAGGTCTCCGGGGTAAGTGGGTAAGATAATAATAATTCCCTTCCCTAATAAAAATAAAGCTTCCCTAATTCCCTGACTGTTTTGCAAGCAACACAACCACTTGACCAGGCCCTACTACGATTATCCATGAACCCAGTGTCTCCTTTTATTGGCCTTTTCCGAAAGGCAAGGAATACCTGTGGTGAGGTTACGCAACAGCTGCTTTTTGATAGACGAATGGGCAGGCTCATCCGGGCATGTACCATGGGCTTTAAGAAAATTTTACTCGCTTGACAATTATTCACTTAAAAAAACCTTAGCCCTATTCTAAAATCCCGCGACATTTTTTTATCTGAAAAGGTGACAAGCGAGCTTTTATAATATCATTGCTTTACGGCAACAAGACGATGACGCTTGGCAATCCGCTGCATTTCCGTGACTCTTGTTTCGGAAAGATGGACAATTTTTGATTAACAAAACAAAAACAAGGAAGATGCCCATCTATCTATAACGTTCGAAAGTCGAAAAGATGGTAATTTTTTTTGGCTGGATGAGCCTCTGTTGGCCTTAGGGGCCTTACAGATCGACGGGCATGAGGTGGCCGGGCGCTCGGGGCGCCTAGCCTGAACCTCGGCAAGATGGTATGGTACAAAGAGTACTTTTACATATCTGGTATGGTAGGTTTTTTTATATCGATATTATTTGCTGTAACATTTGAATGAATATTTGTATAGTTTCCCTTTAATTACAATCATTAATTTTCTAGCATTTTTAAAAAAATTTCTTTTATTGTTTCACGCCTATTTGTTAAAAAAATGTTGTGTATAATTTTTTTTAATTTAAGTTTCCAAGGAATATAACATTAATAATTTTTTTCTTACAATACAGCATACAGGCTAGAAATACTTATAATTACTTAGACTTAATAAAAATGTAAGCCTTAAATTACTTTAGAGGTTTACTTTTTCAAACGCGATTTTATGTAATTTTATATAATAAGTAACAAGTTTATAATGTAAAACGGAACGTAGAACAATTCGTTCGTGCTCGCTGCTTGCTGTTGCTATCGTTAGCTTGTATTGTAATTAGTATTAGTTAAAAAGTTTATTTTTGACTTTTTTATTAATGAAAATTATGAAGATAAAGTTAACTAGAACTCAAGCAATAAATATATATTAAGATATTAAAAAAGTCTTGACCAATTATAAGATTAAATCGTTTTTTTAGTGCGATAGTCTGTCTTGTTTCATAAAGTGGAGTCGTTACAGAATATTGCAAAATGACTTCAGCACTTTATTTGGAGCATTATTTAGATAGTCTCCAACATTTACCTATAGAATTACAAAGAAATTTTAAATTGATGCGAGATCTAGATGACCGAGCTCATGGACTAATGAGGACAATCGATCTTATGGCCGACGAACTGTTGCCGAATATTCCTAAAATGGACGATGAAACTAAAAAGGAAAAGGTGAATACTATTCAGGGATTATTTAACAAGGCTAAAGAATATGGAGATGATAAAGTGCAACTTGCTATACAGACTTACGAGTTGGTAGATAAGCACATACGGCGCCTTGACTCTGACCTCGCACGCTTCGAAACTGAAATTCAAGAGAAAGTAATGAGTTCGCGAGCCGCGCAACAGGCTGCAGCTGATCAGGAAACGAATACTACAACGGTGAAGAAGGGTCGGAAGAAGCACAAAGGTAGTGAAAAAGCTACCGCGTCTACAGGTAAGAAAAAACGTGCTGGCGCTTCGAGCGAAGATGACGCAGCAGCTAATGGTAAATCAGCAGCGAAAAAGAAAGCTCAGAGAAAAGGTGCGACAACCACGACGAATGCTGTTAAAGAGCAGGAAGAAAATGCAGATCTCGAGTCTGTTGCTGGCATGGCGCATCCAAGTGATGTTCTCGATATGCCAGTAGACCCTAATGAGCCAACATATTGTTTATGTCATCAAGTGTCTTATGGTGAAATGATAGGTTGTGATAATCCTGATTGTCCAATAGAATGGTTTCATTTTGCATGTGTTGATCTTAAGATTAAACCAAAAGGGAAGTGGTATTGCCCTAAATGTACACAAGATAGAAAGAAAAAATGATCCATACTTAAACCACCTATTATTAAGCTTGCAGAAAAGACTGTGCCTGTGAAGAAAGAGGTAAAGTGACTGTCTAAATTAAATTATAAATTAGTTTTAATTCTTATATAATGTTGAGAATTAAGATTTATTAAATTATTTATCACAATGTTTTATTTTCACTTATTGTGAAATAAAATTTATAATGTAAATATACCTAATGAAATTGCCATGCCTGTTTAGCATTTATTTTGAATAACAATTGTTACATAGGCCTTAAATAGTTTCTGTTAATTCTTTCAACACAAGTGTGAGTTGACTGAAATAAGAGAGAATTATTAGCTAATACAAATATTGTATGGAATTTGAATTGAAATAAAACAAATTTTTGAGCACTAGAAATAAAAATATGTAAATGTTCGTACAATTTATTAATTTTATAATAACAATGTGCTGAATTTCTTATGATACAAATCGGATATTGTTAGTGTTGAACTGGTGAGCAATGTAAATATAGACTATGGAATAAAAGAAGTATTTACCTCATTTTGGTATAGAAGAGAAAATAATAAGGATGTTAATGAAGTGCTGAATTGTTATTATATAATAAATTAAAGATAATTTTTTACTCATGCCTTTTTTTTTTCATTATTCTAGATATAAGGAAAAAAAAATATATTTTATATATTGCTTTAATGGAATTAGTTAAGCTATGAATAATTTTGGAATAGAATTTAATAGAAATATCTCCTTGACACAATTTTTTATTAATATTTTGAGGCATATGTTGCACATGTGGCATAAATGTTGCATTAAAACATTGCACAAAGCATTCCTTCTAATTTAAACAGCATATTACTAAACTGTCATTAAAAAGAAAAAATCATGATCTTTAACAATTTATTAATTAATTTTTAACGATTCAAAGGTAGTGTTTACAAGCCTTTTCATTTTAGTTTTTATATATGGTGTACACAAATTTTTAAGAGACGGGTTTGTAAAAGGCAAATCCATATTCTTTACATATTATTAATGAGGGTTAACTATATTCCTATTGACAAATATTACAAAAAAGTTATAATTGTATAATTCCCTGATATGCATAATGTTATCTGAATTTAAACCAAATTTGACCCAAATGGGGCAACTAAATGCGGCAATTTCTAAGCAACATTCACTGTGGTAGGGCCACATAGTCTTTGCTGTTGCATGAATAGGCAGGTCCGTCCAGGGAAGTCGCACAACCTCACAGAGGCTGAGCATGAAGTGGAAATGATATACTTCTGTGTTATGTGTGGTGAGTGAGGTAATACCACTTAATAGAAAGGTGGCACCCGACCAACTCGTTTGCCGTCTTGCATTTAAAAAAAACTGCATTATTGTTATGATTCTGCCTTAATGTTAGAAAACACCATTTAGTTTAAAACTATTTTAAAACATCACAACTTCTCTTGGCTATTTTAGAACATAATGATATGTGGTCATTGTTAAGATAGACTTTGTGCATATAAGCTTCCCCAATTATTACTGTTTGAATGTTGAATTCTATTGATTTTATTGTTTTCATTTATTGAGGTTTTTTAGTTTAGAAATTTTAATTTTACATTGACATCTCTCGTTCGAATTATAGTTGTAAAAACGATATTCGAAATTGCTTGTATGCTGGAATATATAACAATGGATGCGCCAAGCATTGTTTCAAATGCTAAAAAACTATGTAGAAATGATGAAGATAAAGGACGTTGAGAATTTCGTCGGTGTGGCAATCCGCCGCTTAGCTTAGTGGCTAAAGCATCAGGGCGCGGCGAAAAATTAGTTTTTGAGTCATCAGAACACCCGAATCACTAAGCAGTAAATATATGTGTTTTCTATGGATGAGTAAACGGACAGGCGGCTCTCATAAAGTTCAGATATTAGCAACTAAGAACGAATAATTCAAAAGGCACTTAATTAAACTTCCGAATTAAAAAAAATAGAAGCTATCAACGGATCAACTTTCTTAGTTTCGAGTCGAAACTGGCTGTGGATAAAGTAATCGAGTAGTGGGATAAATTAGGGTCACAGTAGTTGGATGCGTGACTAAAGTCATGTGTGTAAACGCAGTTCGGCTGTTAGTATACTGTTATAGTTGCATATATATGTCGTATCGTAACATCATGTACCTTTGTTACTGATTAATTTTCAATTTGATCGAATGTAAAACAAAGCTCTCGTACTATTTAAAATACATATAGACCAACTTTTACGAAGAATGTACTTACGAACTTTTACTGTATGAATTACCAATTACTTTCAAAATTGGCATATTGACATGTATCAATACAAAATTGATTCAATAAAAATATTACAAAAATATCTATTCGAAATGCGACAATATCCTTACCAGCATGTTAATTGAAATTTTCAATGCCGCTGGCTTTTTAATTTAAAATTCAATATCATTCACGAAAAAAAAAGTATGTCAGAGAACTGTTTTGCTAGTTACTACTAAACCGAATAATGTTTAGAACAGTAGTTGTAAAACATTATTGGGTTTTGTCTATGTAGGTCAGTGGCGGAATAGACAAATAGCAGGAATAGGCAGCAAATACCTAAGCGCAAATATGCTTAGAGGGGGCGATAGCACGAAAACTTTCCTAGTCCAGCACATAAATGCCACAAGGTTTCAGATGCAGGTAAATCACAGAAAACATACTCCAAGAAGAAGCGTGACTCTTACACTCTTACTTCCTAGGCATTGGCACTTCTTGGAAGACGGCTTTAGTGCACCCGATCCCTAAAAAAGGTGTCCGTTCAGATCCGTTGAATTATAGACCTATTGCCCTCATCTCTTTGTTTTCTAAAATAATGGAGTGTAATATAAACTGCCAGATCCGCTATTCGGAACTTGTACAACTAAATGTCATCGAATATATCAATCGATGTCAAAAGTAATTTATCGTTAAATAAGTTATATTTATTAAAAATAAATAAATAATCAGAACTTAACAAATTTTAGTTATTAAAGATAAGAGTTACCTACGCTGAGATAGGTGGCGTGTGAACATGAACGACAAACAACAGAAGCTGCAAAGAAATACATCCACCATGCGAGAACAAATACAGGCCAGATTCCGCTTCGTGCTCTCGTACGGAACGGACGTCTCTCTAAGACGGAGGGCACATGCCACCCGAATTAGACGCTACTCGCAACTTTGGTTGCAATTTAAATATTTGTGCAAGTAGTGCAATAGTTTAGTGTTAATGTAGTGTTGTGCTCGTAGGCAGGTTCCTGTCCGTAAGTAGAATTCTACACACATTTCTCGCCTCAGAGGCGGCATTGCCTAATTTTTAACTGTGTGCTTGTTGCATTGGGCGACAGCTAGGTACTCACCCTAGCGCACCTAAAGCGCAGGCGAATTAAGTGTTATTTTTAGGCACACTCCTCCCTGCCGCAAGGTGGGGAGGCTTATTAAGCTTACACACGCCGGCGGGGCCTAAGCCCCAAAGGCACATACGTTACGATGGGCTCCCTTTTCGAGGAGTTCGTCCGACAACGCTGTCTCGACATTTGGGAAAGCTACCTAGCGTTCGAATCCGAACAACGATTAGTCGTTGAATACGCCAACGACAGCCCGCCTTCACCGGCAATCGCATCGCCGCCATCTCCGGCGCCCTCTGCGCCCGTAACCCCGTTGCCTTCCGCGACGCAAGAAGCGCCCGTCGCGTCGACATCCGCCGCTGCGAACACGCCCGTCGCGCATTCCTCGCAAGCTACCCCGGCCTCCTTGTGCACCGTCGTACTCGACTCATACTCGGACGGCGGATCGGATATGGAGGTAGATTTAACTCCCGCCGGTAAACCCAATGACGACGGCTTCACCGTCGTCACTGGACGAAAAAAGAAGGGCAAGAAACGCCCCGCCGTAGATAGCGACCCCGAAAGCGAGGCCGCCACCTCAATTAATAGATCCACTGCGACGCCCGCCAAAAAGGCGGCCGCGGCAGTCCAACCGGTACCCGAATACGCCGCCGAAAGAAAAGCCAAGCCTCCTCCACCTACCATCATCCAGGAGAAAGCTAAATGGCATCAAATTTGCGTGTGGTTTAGAACGCCACAATATTCGAGACCCCCGGTCGAAGAACACCCATCAATGTATCCGTGTATACCTCGATAGCATCGATGACTTCCGCCGCGTCACTAAATATTTACGCGAAAACAAGGTTTCCATACCTACTCGCTGCCTGAAGAACGCAAACTTCGGGTAGTCATAAAGGGAATCCCGAAAGAGTCGGATGTCGACAATGTAAAAATCGACATCCGCACTCAGGGATACCCGGTGCACGCCGTTCGTCGCCTACGTCACCCCAGAACCCGTGTCCCGATGGACATTGTAATGGTGGAGTTGGACCCTACCCCGGAAGGTAAGGCAATTTTTAATTTGAAGAGGCTCTGTGGGCTTAGCGAACTCGTCGTTGAGCCTCCACGGAAGTCAGGCGTTGTTGCGCAGTGTCATAACTGCCAACACTATGGCCACACAGCCCGCAACTGTTTTGCTCACCCTAGGTGCGTCAAATGCACCGGTGACCACGGCACGACAGATTGCACGCGTCCTAAAGATTGCGCAGATCCACCGGACTGCGTAAATTGTTTGACTACCGGCCACCCGGCTAGCTACAGGGGCTGCGCTAAAGCTCCAAAAACCCCCGCGAGGAAAGCACCCGCAAAAATTACGCTCGCGAAAATCGCGGTCCCGAAATCCGCGCCGGCGAAGTACATTCCCGCGCCCGCACCCGTCGTAAACGCCTGGGCGAAACCTCAGGCAGTCGCGCAGGTAGCCGCGCCTCCGGTCGCCTCACGACCGACGACATTCCAACCGCAGCCCGTCAAACAACAAGCACCGAGGCCGCAGATGCATTTTATTACACCGGTCGTTTCCACGAACCAAGACGACCCTTTTGCCCAAATGGCAAACATCTGCAGCTTCCTGGAACGCATAAACCGGGAAGAGCTCGCCGTCCTATCTACAAAGTTATCG